CACCAAGTGGTTACCGGTTCGTAAAACTCGGGGTGCCAGGCTTTTCGGGATTTCACTTTAGGGGCAATTCAATAAAATTTCTGTGAGATCTTCACCAAAGTTGGAAGATTTATGGAACTGGGAAATGCTGGGGGAGTGAGAAAAGAAATTCGGCAATGGGATCACCCCTGGGGCAGAAAAAATCCGGAGGATTGGACCATACCGTGGCGCAAATTGCTATCTTTGATTCCTGATATTTTGATTGGGATTGTAGACATGTTCATTTCCCTGATATCAGTTGTAATCAAATCAAAACTGATCAGTTTGCAATCAATGAATATCCAGATATTCTAATTTTCAAACTGATATTCTTTGATTTTCAGACATTTTGAAAATGCTGCAAAAAAACTCTTCAGTTGGGATTCATGGTCACTTTCCCACTGGCATGATGCCTCCATTAAATATCGAGACTTGGACTTGGATTACTTGGATTGGTTGAAAATTTTGGTGAAAATGGGTGAAAATGGGGGGATCAAAGAAAACATTCTTCAGAAAGAAGAAGTGATGATCTTTACTTGGTGGCTCATCCCACTTAGTAAGTGGGTTTGAATCCCAGTTAGAAATGGGATAAGTAGGGTTCATCCACTTATAACTGGGGTTATAACCCACTTACTAAATGGGATGAGCCACCAAGTAGGGACGAGTCGGGGTTTAACCATGTTTAACCCCATGATCCAGGTACAAAAAACTGGGCGTCGAGCAAACCATGGCTTTCACTGAGTGAAACACTCGGACAAAAAAACTACAAATGGTGGATTCTCCTTAGCTATGTTAGATTGCCAGAGGGTATTCCTACAGCTCCAAACTAAGCGCATATGTATGTATGTATGTATGTATGTATGTATGTATGTATGTATGTATGTATGTATGTATGTATGTATGTATGTATGTATGTATTTATGTATGTATGTATGTATGTAACATATGTATGTATGTATATATGTATATATGTATGTATGTAACATATGTATGTATGTATATATGTATATATGTATGTATGTATGTATGTATGTATGTATGTATGTATGTATGTATGGTAATGTAGTGTAGTGTAGTGTAATGTTATGTAATGTTATGTTATGTTATGTTATGCTATGTTATGTTATGTTATGGTATGTATGTATGTATGTATGTACAGAGAGAGAGAGAGAGAGAGTACACCTATACATCTGCAAAATCTTGCAAAGTTTGGGCACCTACAAAAACAAAAAACGTGTTCAAATCAAGATCTCTAAACACAGCATGCTGGTCAAGCCCGGATGGTCCATGAGGTCTCCATTTCAGTCCCATTTCATGTTCCTTAAAATATGGTTGCATATATCCCCCAGAACTTAGTAAATTCCACCATGAACAAAATACAATCCCCTATTCTTTATGCACTGATAATAATATCTGTGAATTGGACCCAAGGTTCTGAAAATAGCCACAGGGATTTGTCAATAGAAACTCCCAAGTCTCTGGCTGAATCAAATAATTCACCAACCTGAAAACCCATCATGCCAGTGACGTCACATTGAGGTCATGTGTGAAATCTCCTTTCTTGATGGTAAAATCCCCCGTTTCGGTTAGTTTCATGCCCAATTTCCAAGCAAATCAAAACATCTCTATTCCCCCTGATATTCCCACCTCATATCCCCATATGAAAAACCACCATGACATGATGATCAAATCCCATTTGTTTGATGTTTTCATCAGTTTCATCTCCCAGTTTGATGGGCAAAATCCCGTGATCATGACATTCTCCCCATGCAAAAATGCGCCCGTTGATGGCTCAGAAACCCGTTTCCAGACACCCCATATATATTTTTGCCATTCAAAATAGGCCTATCATCCCTATCCCATCTCGTGAAATTTGAGAGTTCTTTGATAGCTTTCCCTCTGGTTAGGGTTATATAGTTAGTTCAGAATCCCAAACAAACCCCAAACGTATCACCAATCCACCCAGCTATAAAAAAATAAACCACCCACGGTTTTGTCACGGTTTTTACCACCCATTTGTGGTAAGATAGTGGGGATATTACTTTACTGTACTAATGAAGAAAATATCGTCAAACATGGTCTTTGAATCATCAAAGGTTTAGCCATTTACTGCCATTGATGGGGTCTAAAACTATTGCTTTACTGAGATTTTCAAACACATGATGTCTATCATGACACCAATACTCGAGTCCCAGCAGCGCTGCAGCAAGTCCCGCAGCTTCTCCACAGGACCTACCGGAAACAGTTTTCCTTCGATGAGATGTACCCGGCCTGGTAAACGTTCACAGTTTGCTATGGAAAATCACCATCTTTAACAGGTAAATCAATTATTTCTACGTGCCATGTTCGCAAACTGTTAAATTATGTTAAATTACCAGAGGGTATATCTTACCGAGAGGATCCCACTTAGTAACTGACTGGCAACTGGGGCCCCTGTTCACCCATTAATGGAAAAGAAAAAACCTTTTGGGCCTTTTCGGGACCTAACCGCGCATTGCTTGCTCCTTTGATACTTGGGGGATCCCATTTAGTAAATGGCTAATAACCCTAGGTAAGTCCTCATTCCGTGCTGGGTTAGAAATATGGTTATTAAATGTTATTAACCACTTACTCAGCGGGATTATCCTTGCAGTAGCAACCAACGTGTTTTACTCATGAGAATCTAGTTTCATATTGATACGAGTTGTCTTATCTAGTCTGATATTGATATGTATATATATATGTATATATATGGTTTCTGAGAACCCCCCAAAACGATAGAAAAGGGGTTCATCAAAAAATTTAGGAGGATTTTAATTTATCTGTCAATTTTTTTTGCGGGGTGGTTACTATATGTGACCATTTGACCAAAACATCACCCCGCCGACCATTCGCCAAACTTTGATGTAGCGAACAATGGAGGGATCTGCAGTCGTCAACCAGTGGGAATAGGTAGAGAGTTCGAAATCAACTAATCTAGTGCATTAATGGTCATTGCCAACAACAAAATAGAGATTGGAAGTACCAAATGGTGAGTGTTTGCCCAACCAAATGTGGAGTAACTGAACATTTCATCATTTCATTGAAATTGGGGAGGCGCGTTCAACATTGTTTAACTATATATAATGAGGTGAAAACAATAATAAACTAACCATTTGGTTGTGGTTTATACCACCTATCCCTGATGATTTGGGGGATGGTTTATTATTGTTTTAACCACATTATGTATATATGTTTTTATATATATATATGGTTGGTGGAAGGTTTCGGATCACGAGGGCCCCACGACCCGTTTTCATCCGGTTACCTTAGCGGGATTTCCCGCGGGCAATTGTGTGGCTGGCACTTTCGCCTTCGTCTGTTTTGCTGCTACTCTCCTGATCTGGTCCGCCCTGGGATTGCAGTGGTTGAACATTTTTGCGTTGTGCTCTGCAAGGAACTTGTGTTTCCTTGCATCACCTTTGCAAGTGCTGAGGTCCCGGCCTCGTATAAAAACCCCGGGTTGGCATTGGACTTTGTGCATGAGGTCATCCTGCGGTTTTTGCGTGGTCCTGATCATCTTTGCGCAGCTCCTCTTTGCCGGCTTTGCTGTATTTGACCTGACCCTAGCAGAGCGCTACGGCGACTGCATCTGCGAGGCGTTCCTTGCGGAGACAAAGGGCTCAAGCAAGACTCAAGTGGTTCTTGCACAAATCAGGCAGTGCGCTCCTATCACAGCACCAGCTTCTGCGGATCTTTCGAATCCTCAGCTCACACCATTCGCGAGATTGTGGACATCTTCGCGCCATAGTGAGAGCCATGCAGTCACAAAATGTGCCATGGAGATGCCTGCAATGTCGACAGTTGAGGAAGCACAATGCTTCTCACTGTCAAACATGCAAATTGCCCTGGCAAACAGCTATGGATCGCACTTACATCCATGGGGTCAAACAGCAGCATTGCGATGCACAGACATACCAGCCACAATGGCAGTATCATGGAGGGCAACAATATTACCAAGGAGATCAATCGCCGAGGAGCCAAAAGTCTCCACGCAGATATCAGAGCCCCAGAAAGAAGACACCACGAGGAGGCAAAGGTCAGGCAAACACAGGGTATGGTCCTCCACAGTATCAGCCCTATCAGCAGCTGCCTGTGCAGGGCTTTCCGGCTGCGGTGCCTCCTTTGCCACCGCCCAGTGGGCCTCCGCCCCCGTGGATACACCCTGGAGCTCCACCTACCATGATGCCCATGATGAACATGATGCCCATGCAGCAAGGTCCACCGCAGCAAGCCAACAGCTCTACGCCACAGTTTGCTCCTTTGGCTTTGTCAATGCCTACGATGCCGACCATGGTGCAGGAACAAGTTCCAAACGAATTGCTCAACTTTCTGCAAAAGCGGTCTGTGGACCTTCCATTAGATGTTCAGCAGAGACTACAGTCAGAATCAAAGAAGAAAGGGAAAAGAGTCATCAAGGACTTGCAAGAAGCAGCCAAGGCTTTGGGTGCTGCACGCACGGCCTACGAGGAGGCATTAGTTGCGAGGACGCAGCACATCAGTTCCTGGAAATCTTTTCTGGCGGAAGCAGTGAAGAATTGGACAGAATATGCAAAACAATTCGAGCAGCACGAGCAAGCCCTTCAACTGAGAATCACCTCGGCACGGGAGCAATTCCAAGCAGCCAAAGAATGCCTGGACACGTCCAAGACTTCTGCGGGACAGGTGACAGAGATCAGCGACGAGGAGGACTTGCCGGGCGAGCAGGATACGTCGGCAATGCAGATTACGGAAAGCATTCAAACGCTCTCCAACTCCCTGATGAAGCTCTCCAAGGAGGCAGAGTCCATTCAAGTGGAAGGACCAGCTCCCAAAAGATTGCGCACAGAGGAGGGGACAGCAGGAGAAGCCTCCAGAGAAGTTTTCAGTTAGGCGGACTGGCTATGACCTTATGGTATACCAGTCGGAAGCCAGAACTTTCTGACTTTCCTGCAATTGCTGCTTTGAAATGGAGTCATAGCGTGATGGACGAGCCAGACTTCTGCTGTGAATTTGGTGCCAGAGAAGCTGCTCAGAAACTTGCGCTTGAAATGAATCTTGCAGGACATCATCGTCTTCCACAAAGTCGAAGTTCCCAAATCAACCTCAAGAACGGCAAAGGTCTCAATCTTCATGTGGGTTTTGCAGATGTGACCGAGCTGAGAATGAGTTTTGATGACGACTGGAAGATGTATGATTTCTCTCTGCCTGGCCTCATATTTTGATGCTGGGATCACACCATGGAGTGGATGTCCAAAGATTGCGGAGCTGAAAATGAGCCGCTTTCGAGTTCGTCCTTGGCAAGACGAAGAGTTTGCACGAAGTTGTGAACCTGAGCTTGTACAAGCTGACGCCCGAATTGCATCCATCCACAATGATATCGCCCAGAACCAGTCGAGTAGTGCCGGCAATTCTGTTGCAGATCCCAGGGTTCCTACTGGTAGTATCTCCAGTGTATTGCGGCCGAAAACTTTCAAGCTCTCCAAGTACATTCATCACCGGCCAGACATGACAGAGAATCCCAATCTTCCTGATCCGCACAGCTCCTCTGATGAAGCACCTGGACAAGGACGACCCCCCAGAATTCCTTTGCGGCACCTGCCGGCTTAGGTTGAAGTTTTGTGGAACATCCTACAAGATGAAGGTGCCACTGAGCTTTTGGAGGAAGGGCCCGTCATCTATTTGAGCACCTATTACCTCAGTCATCGTCATTGCATCAGACAGGCTGTAAGCCGCCCAATTCGGTTGACTCGAAGGTATGAAGAATGGGTTGAAGAGTTCAAGCTTGTCTGGGGTGATCTATTTGACAGACAAGCTCCTTATGAACTACATCTTGTCGAGCCCGAGCCGCCAATATCTCTTACACGAGGAATTGTGGGTATAGTCCTGATTGTGCAACATCGTCAGCCTGAAAGAGCCGCAGTCTTGACGACGGCGCTCTTTGATGAGCTTCCAACGCCCCGCACTCTGGAGATGGCTCACATCGTGCATGTTTGGACAGACTATCCTACAATCTTGCGTCGGGCTGAAGCATATGAAGCATGTCAAGAAGCAGAACGGCAGGAACTACGACCCTGTGTTCTCCGAGCAGGTCGTTATGTTTTCCCACGCCATCGCCACATCAGAGCTCATGATGGTCTAGGATTTGTGGTCAACGTCCCAATGCTCATCGATGAAGAAGCATGGGATGCCTATGTTCGACCTTATATGGATCAATGGAATGACCTTGACAACGCTGGACAAAGGCCACCTCATACAGCTGATGACGATCAGGTCGCCTTGATGGCCAGACGACCCAGACTCATTGTGACGTCATCGAGCACTTCCACATCAAGCTCTGAAACAGCAGTCTCACAAGATCTTATGTCGAGATCCAGAAGTAGAGAACCTTCTAGTGGATCCAGTACATGGCACAGAACTGTTATCTTCGATTTGGATGGCTCTGTTGTGTCTTGTTTACTGCCGAGTGCCCTAGAAGAAGAACGCAAGAGAAGAATAGCAACAGCACTCAACATCATGCCTGCGGATATCACTGAGATTCATGCCGTTGTTGATCGACCAGACGATCTAGTGGCAACTCAACTGCAGTGTCTGTTGATCCAAAGAAGATCGGATTACAGACCCACTGACTTCTTGCGTCTGGTCCTCCTGGACCTTGAGATCACAGGACCAAACGAAGTTTTGCCAGGCATTTTCAGGAGACTGGCCAAATGGCTGCCTCATGTGACGACGACCACGTCACTTATGCGCATTCTTCGTCTGGAAGATCTATGGCACCAACATGAAGACAACACGCATGTCTGGATCAACAATGTACGAATTGACGTTCATCAAACACAACCTCACACCATTGAAGATGGAGATTATCTCAAAATCTACATTGGTAGTGATGACAACATGTTTCAATGCGGCGAGACAGGAGATGAAATCACTCTGATACAAAGTCCTGGTGTGATACAGCACAAGGTGGGAGAACAACAGATCTCCAATGTCGCCCGTCTTGATGTTTGTGAAGCCAGAGAAGGCAGAAGAGTGAGGCCCAGAAGGGCTGAGACACCTCCTGATGAAAATGAAGCTGAAGTCCAACGTCTACATGAAATCTGGAACCGGCCGTTGCTGCAAACCCGAGGAATGATGAACGAGCCTGTCATGATCTTTGAAACATGGTTCATCAGTGCTCTGGATTTCCCAAGGTGCTCAACAGCACGGAATGCAGCATTACCAGAAAACGTTAGATCTTGGGAATATGCGCTGCGCCAAGTGTGGCGCGACAGACAGCATCCGCATTGGCCGTTACGGATCATCCAGATCACACCAACGCCGGCCGGAGCTGCCCATGGTGGCCACCTTCTGGTATTGCAACATGAGCACCCAGCTGAAGCGGGAATACTCATTTCTACCTTTGGAAAGCCCACCATCGAAAGGTTCGCTCAGCTGGTCCCATGTGATCTACCATTTGAACGTTTTCTATGGTTTGCTGATCAGGAGGATTATTGTCACCGAGCTCAAGTGACATGTTCCGTATACCATGACCGACAGCAACTTCTCCCTCCAATGCCATGGAGAGCGGAGAATGGGCAACATCTGGAGATTCATGTCAAACGAAGGGCAAATGCTGAGTTACATCTGGGACCGCAAAATGAGGCTGCCTCTGTGGCGATGGACAACCCAACCTGCTCTTTGGATGATTTCGTGTTCAATCCCAATGCGCCATCTTTTGCCCCCGGTACCACTGCAATAGAGGCGATGCCTGAAGTCATACAAGATCTCCATGAAGAATGGCTTAGAGTGGCATACAGTTGGCAAGGAGAAGAGCCCAGTGCTGAAGTGACGACATGGTACGTCGATCAAGCAGACAGACCACAACGTGTCTGTTGGCATCCACGTAACATTTTACTGGACTCTCAATTCTCCAGATGGGAACAACAAATCCGCCAACTCTGGCAGGACAGAATCATTCCTGATGCACCTCTAGATTTTGTTCTAGTTTCTCCAATGCCACCACAACATGGACGACTTGTGGCAGCGCACGTGATTCTTGTCCAAAGACCACAACCAGAATTGGTCACGAGCTTGATCACAGTCTATGATGTCACGCAGCCAGTACGAGGTCCCGCTGCTCAACTTGCACTCACGACCACCGAGCATGTCTTTCTAGAGCACCTGATTCACAGTTTGGGGCTCACACAAAGATGTCTACTGGCCAACGCTGATCGGCTATGCCAAGCTTGGTATGGAAGACAACCACTGATTTTGGGCCAACCTCTACAAGGACGTGATGGTTATGGAATCTTGATGCAATTGTCAACCAGACCTCAGGTTGCGACCAGAGACCACACTGCTTTTCTGCAGATTCGAGCTAGCGTCTCTCGAGTTCCTCATGTGTCATCATCGGAAAATGGCTTGAGCACACCCATTGAAAGTGAGCGCCTAACAGACATTTCGGTGGCTCATGAATGTCGGCCACTTTCGAAGGGTGCACATACATGCATATTTTTGGACGAGCTGATACCCGAGGACGCTGGCGAAGATCAAGATCTCACTGGATTGACTTGGGGTGTTAAGCTCCAATCTGGACATCAAGACATCAAGGTGCCGGAATTTCTTGAAGTCCCACATGATGCCAATGCAGCTTCAGTCGAACACGAACTGAAGAACTGGGGATCCACTGCCAAGCCATCCAGTTTAAGCCACATGATCGATTTCTTTGTCTTCCCAAGGATTTCTATTATGAGACCGAGAGGTTCTTCTACATGTTTTGCAATGAAGACACAAGTGATGTCCATGGATGCATCCTTCATTCGCAGACCACACACCTGAGTCAAATTGACATGATGAGCATGCTGGACTCACTAGGATATCCAAGAGCTGTCATTCTTGAAGAAGCACACCTAGAATGCGGGCTGCTTCGTGTTCTCTTCTGCAACAACATGCCACTGCAGACGGCGCCCGAAAAACCGCTGCGAGCAAGAACTGCATGGCCGGAACGCCATATTGAAGTGTGGAATGAAATGCCACTCTTTCCGAAACAGCGGCCTTTGCCTCAAGCTCTTATGGCAGACGACCATCAGCAGCAAGTCTGGACAGGTTTTGATTGTCAAGATCTTGCAGAACTTTTGGGAGCAGCAAAAACTTTTTTGCAAACTGACTTCTCCGGTATTGACTTACCTGACTTTGTACGGGATGCTGTAGTCAAACCGAGAAGCCAACAACATTATGATCGCTGGTTGGTGTACACTGATGGATCCTCCCAGACTTCGATGCGCAGAGTGACACCACAACAAGCTGACGAAGAAGGACTGCCAGACACCTGGTCAATGCTTGTCTTGGGAGAAAAGTTCACAACTGATGGAGCTTCAATTGTAGAACCCCTAGGTTGGTGCGCGCATCCGGTGAGGTATGATGAACATGGTGCCTGTTACACCGGAGCACAACGCATAGGTGCAGAAGTAGCAGAACGAGATGCTCTTGTCTGGGCAGGACTCTGGCGCATAGCGCAAGACAGTGTTACACCTACGGTGTTTTGTTGCGATTCACTTACCAGCGGCAAGCAAGCCTTCGGCCTCATCAGCGCAGGGACGGCAGATCTCTCTTATAGACTGCTTCGAGGTTTGTTTCAAGCCCTTGAACATGGGCTTCCAGCAGGGCATCTACAACTTCATCATGTGCGATCCCACGCTGGTGATCCGTACAATGAGTTTGTTGATGCAACGGCCAAGATCGAAGCTCGTCGAAGCTTCCATCATTGTCGGCCGGCTCTGGATATGCAAAAATGGAATTGCATCATACCGCACCTCTGGCTCGTTTTTGCACAGAACAGTGGATTGCCAAACTGGTATGATGGCACACTTGCCACAGCAAGGCCAGCACTTCCAGCTGCTCACAATCCCACGTTGCCAGATGAGACGACGACAGGCATCACACTGCAGACTGCATGCTCATTGAGCATTGCAACTGCAAATGTGCTGTCATTATCTCGGGGCCCAGAAGGATACGGAGGCAAACTCCATTACTTGTTCGTGCAAATGAAACATTTTGGCCTCAATGTTCTGGGAGTCCAGGAGGGACGAGCAGAAGAGTTGACCACCACGTCATGCGACATTTTGAGACTCACCAGCGGCCATCACAACAAGAATGGTGGAGTCGAGCTCTGGGTCAATCTAGGGCAGCCGGTGGCTCACAGATCTGACGGAAGTGCGATTCACTTCTCCAAAGATCAATTTCAAGTTGTCCATCGAGATCCTCGTAGACTCCTTGTCAAAGCAGACAACCAGTGCCTGAGTTGCTGGTTCTTTGTGGGACATGCGCCGCATACTGGAAGACATCGAGATGAACGTGCTGAGTGGTGGCAACAAACACACGACATCCTCACTGAGTTCACTGATGATGCTCCTTGCTTCTGGATCCTGGATGCCAATGCAGCCCCTGGAGAAGCTGACAACAAGGCCGTATACCAGCGGGGCCTTTGCACATCAGCCAACACGGATCTGTTCCGTGGTGCGTTGAAAAAATTTGATATGTGCCTGCCTTCCACAACATGCATTCATCAAGGCACCAGAGAGACATGGACTTCCATTGATGGCAACAAGCTCTGTTGCATTGATTATATTGCGATACCTTTGACATGGCTATCGTCGTGTGTGTGGTCACAAGTGCTTGAAGATTTTGATCTCGCGACGGCGCGAGATGACCATCGTGTTGTCGGACTTGAATTGCGATGGGATGCTCTGGTGACATTGCCTTGCAGCCGGAAAGCCTTTGCCCCCATTGATTGGACAAGTTCAAGCCAGCGAGAACAAGCACGTGGAAAATTGGCACAAATTGTGGTACCACCATGGAACACCGACATCAAGACGCATGAAATCACTGTACGACAGCAATTTCATCATGCAATCCAGCGTACTGGCAAAGATGGGAAGTCAAGGCCGAAGAAGGCATACATCGACCATGAAGCATGGAGCCTTCGCTCACAACTTTTGAAATGCAGGAAGACCCTCAAGCAGCTCAGACGCAACATTGCTCGAGAGGCGCTTTTCAAGGTCTTCCGTGCCTGGTCAGGCACTATGAAGCTTAGTCAAGTGGAAGAGGCCTTCAACTATGGATCCTCGCTACGTGCTGCCCAGGTACGAAGTATGGCTGCTTTCTGTCACTTTCGTTTCTCATTGAGATCGCATCTGCAGTCAGCCAAACACCGCCTCATGCTCCAGCGAATGGAACACATTAATGAACATACTGCGGCGCACAGCATCCTCCACTTGCTGCGTGAATTTACTGGGCCAACTAATCCCAGAAAAGCCAAGAAAAGGACTTTGCCGCTCATTCATGATCAACAAGGGCACCCGTGCAGATCTCCAGAGGAAGCCACACAACTTTGGATCCAGTTCTTTTCAGACATGGAAGGTGGACAACGCCAGTCACATGCTGCCTTGAGAGAAGACTGGTGTCAACATCTTCATGACATGCCTTCTGAACCATTTCAAGTACAAGCACAGGAACTTCCAACGCTTGTGGACTTAGAACTGGCATTTAGAAGAGTATCATGTGGAAAAGCTACAGGGCCTGACAGGATTCCTGGCGAGACCTGCCACTATGCACCGACAACATGTGCCAAGGCGACTTTTGCGGCTTTGTGGAAGCTTCTGCTCTTTGGCCACGAGGCGTTGATGCACAAAGGTGGCCTCCTTGTACAAGCTTACAAGGGGAAAGGAGTCACAAAACAATGTGCCTCGTATCGCTCACTCCTCATCTCCAGTCATATCGGTAAAGCACTACACCGAACTTTGCGAACCCATCAAGCAGGTGTATTTGAAAGCTTCTTACAAGCACAACAGCTGGGAGGTAGGCGAGCAATGCCTGTGACCTATGGGGTCCACCTCACCCGAGCCTACATGCGGCAGGCCAAGGCGGCTGGACAATCCACAGCGATTATCCTGCTTGACCTCAAGGAAGCATTCTATCGCATCCTTCGGCCACTCTGTATGGATGGCCCACTTACAGATGAGATGCTGGCCCGATTGATGCATACGCTGAAAATGCCCGCTGAAGCTCTCCACGAACTTCATCAGCTGCTTGGCGCACCCTCTGCGTTGAGTGATGCAGGGTTGTCCATCATGGAACAACGCAGCTTGCGTGCAGTGCATCTGCAAACGCATTTCTGGATGCTCAACCAGAAGGACGTGGTCCAGACGCATCACGGCACCCGACCGGGAGATCCGTTCGCGGACTTTGTCTTCAGTTATGTTTGGGCAAAAGTCCTTCATCGACTCCAACATTTCATGAGACAGCATGACCTCATCAGCTCATTTCCAAAGCATGACAGGCTGCTTCTGTTTGAAGATGTGGAGAGTCAGGCACAGGAAGAGTTCATTGGACCAACGTGGATGGATGATCTCGCAGTTTGCCTTGCAGGACCTTCGGCCGAAGGTATTGTCCAAAAGGCTGGAGTGGTTGCAGGACGTCTTCTTGAGCTGTGTTTGGAGCATGGAATGACGCCCAACCTCTCAAAGAACAAGACAGAGGTGCTCCTCTCGCTACGAGGGAGCAATTCCAGAAGACAGAAAACCATCCATTTTGGACCACATGCAACAGGGGTTTTGCCTGTCATCACTGAGTATGGCATGAAGCAGATACCACTGACGACGAGCTACGTCCACCTCGGCGGCTTGCTCCATCATGCCTGTGATCAGCGAGATGAAATCAAGCGACGATTAGGCATCGCCTTCTCCACTTTGAATCATCACCGCCGCCTGATCTTCAGAAACTGGAAAATCCCTTTGCAGAAACGATGCCAGCTCCTGGAATCTCTGATCCTCAGCAAACTCCTTTATGGAGCGGAAACATGGGTTGTTACAGAAGAGGCCACAGTAGCTCATTTTCATGCGGCTGTGGTACGTCTATACCGCAGACTGTTACCGACACCATTTGACCAACATTTGGCGGATGACGAGGTCCTGACACAGCTCCACATGCCTAGCCCCATTGAACTCTTGCGCAGGGCACGTTTGAGATATGTGGCGACTCTGCATCATTGTGGAGAACGCAAAGAATGGGGATTGTTAGCTGCTGACAGGGCCTGGAAGAGCCTTATTGAGGATGATCTGATCTGGATGTGGATGCAGATTAGGCACAGCTCGCACATGCCGGATCCTAGACAGAACTGGCCACGTTGGCGTGAAGTCATTTGCTTCCATCGTTCTTATTGGAGGAGGTTGACGCGAAGAGCAACAGAGCATGCTATCCTACAGCGTGAAAAGATGTGGCGCACACACGCCTTCTATATTCAGCTAGCAGGACATCTTCGCACGACTTTTGACTATGCGCCCCACCAACAGCCAGTTCACCTGAAGCATGGAGTCTTCGGATGCTTGCTGTGCCGCAAGCGTTGTCGCAACAAAGCTGGCGAGGCTGCACACATGTTCCGAGTACACAAGCAGGTAGCTCGTCGGCGTCTTTTGGTAGATGACAGAGTGTGCCCAGCATGCTTGAAGAATTTCCATTCCATGGGCAAACTCACTGCGCATTTATACTATGCCAAACAGTGCCGCCGCACACTACATAGTCGCAACTATGCATGTGATATTGTACCTGGAAAGGGATCTTATGAAGATCGTGAAAAGCTTCAAGCGCATGACAGATTGCTCCCACCGATTCAAGCTGAAGGACCACGGCAACCGTCATTGCGAGCTCGGGAAGAGACAGAAGTTGACTCCGAGCTGCACATGTATTTCATGGAAACCTTCCTTGACGTGACGGACGTGGAGACGGCGATTCAGCTCATCATCAACGAGGTGGCGCAGCGCCCTATCTCTTGGACTACCTGGACAGCTACGCTGCAGTTCTTCATGGACACTATTGATGAGGAGGACGCACAGCTTTGGAATAGCTCACATCACGAGGTGATTGAGCGACTGGAGACGCTGCTGGATCCACAGCAATGGTCCCTGGATGCTCCGCTGCCAGTGAACCCTGAGACGCTCGACGAGCTTGAGCAGGAGTGCAAAGACTTTGCTGTCACGGCCTGGCCGACACAAGCCGAGATCCCCAGAGAATTTAGCAGACACAGAGTTCTATTGCACATGTTTTCAGGCCGTCGCCGCCCAGGCGATCTACAATTTTTTCTGGATGGCATGGAGGCTCCTCCGCATTACACACTACATGTTGTCAGCATGGATATCGTGGTCAGTGCCATTTGGGGAGACGCTATGGCACCGGGCACGCGAAGCTACTGGCAAAAAGCGGCATTGGATGGCTTCGTGGTCGCCTTGATGGCGGGACCTCCGTGCGAGACTTGGTCAAAAGCGAGGGGCCAGGCCATCAATGCCATGCCGAACCGACGGCTTCCGCGCATTCTGCGTACTGCAGACCAGCTGTGGGGGCTGCCAAGTCTCGCCCTCAAAGAATTGGAACAAGTGCTCACGGGCAACCAGCTCCTTTCCTTTACTTTGCTGATGGCGGTGATCATGGTCCAAGTGGCTGGGATTGGGGCCATTGAACACCCAGCTGAACCTGACGACGCAGAAGCTGCTTCGATCTTTCCAGCAGTGCTAGCCTTGTTGAACGCACCAGGCGTCCAACGCCATCGACTGGCACAAGGCCTTTTTGGCGCCCCATCGGCGAAGGCCACGGAGCTGATGGCCATCAACATGCCGAGCCTGGTCACCAACCTTCGTAGCTGGATGTTAAGAAAGGAATTGCCACGTGGCGCGTCGATCGGGTTGACATCCGACGGCCAGCGGCGTACAGGGGTACTCAAAGAGTACCCACCTGCCATGTGCGGAGCGCTGGCTTCTTCCTTCCGTCATGAACTTGACCAAGTTCAGACGAAGGCTGGCGGAGATCCAACTGCACAGGACCTAGCCCTGTGGGCGTCACTGGAGGTGACATCGTACAGTGCCCACATCGGCGCAGATTATGCAGGATGACTCACGTCGGTGAATTCACCTCATGTGCATAGGCCGCGGCACAGAGCAGCAATGGGCCTGGAGGGAAAAAAAAAAATGGTTGGTGGTTTCAACCCCCCTGAAAAATATGAGTTCGTCAGTTGGGATAATTATTTCTAACTGAATGGAAAGTCATAAAATTCATGTTCCAAACCACCAACCAGATAGAATAATATATATATAACTTTCCAAGAGTCTTCTGGCCGTCCTTCACTTGGGTTGCTGTAAATCTGATGAAAAAAAACTCCTCTCGAGTCAAACAATGGGCAGCCTGGACGACCCCAAAAAAATGGACCCCAAAGACTTGGAGGTCTACCCATTCCAGAGCCTAAGTAGTCGGGGGTATCTATCTATATATATACATATATACCTTATATCTACTTGAGGTCCTTGCCCAATTATAAGTCGATCTACGAAACCGATCCGATCAACTTGTCCATTTAGTATGGGGAAATAGAGTACCCTCTGGTTATGTCAAAATAGCTATTGAAAATGGTCCATTCATAGTTGATTTGCCTATTGAAGATGGTGATTTTCCATAGCTATGTTAGTTTACCAGAGGGTAACTCCCAGAACCATCGTTTTTTCACCGGCCGTTACTTCAACCAACATGGTGGGCCTCACCCACCTGGTCGCATATTATCCGCAGTATTCTACCCAGAGTCATAATTTAGTGGATTAACAAAATATTACTGGTTGGTGGTTTCAACCTACCATTGGTTGGTAATATACTGTTAATATATGGTTAATATTAATGGTTATGATGATGGTTTTCATGATGGTGAATAATAATCTGGTTGGTGGTTGACCTACCCCTCTGAAAAATATTAGTCAGCTGGGATGATTATTCCCAATATATGGAAAAAATAAAAAATGTTCCAAACAACCAGATTAGCAATACGATTCCCATGGACTAATTAACTCGACTTAGCCTACTTTGAAAAATCACTGGCATTTTTGAAAACATGGAGGTTTCCTGAAATAGGGGTACCCCATTTCATCATCCATTTATAAGTCCGATGTTCCATGAAATAAACCATCCAGCTATTGGGGTTTTCCCCATTTTCTATGGGTTTCTATGGGTTTCTATGGGTTTCTATGGGTTTCTATCCCCAAATCATCCGTTTTCATAGGATGTTCCCATCATAAACCATGTTATACCACCTGGGAGCAAAACTCACTGGGCCACCCGCAGCACCTTTCAGGTCAGGATGCAGAGAGACCATGTCGTGCACCACCCGCAGCACCTCGCCGGTGGTCAGGTTTGAGGATCTGAAATGGTCCAGAAAAGCCATGAAGGGTTAATCTATGGGTAATAATCAGTGGTTAATAATAATCCATTAATAATGGTTAATCTATGGTTAATCAGTGGTTAATGAATGGTTAATCTATGGTTAATAATGTTTAATAGGATGGTCCATGACATAAACCTACCATGCGCTGGTGGTTTCATCCTACCATTGGTTAATAATAATGGTTAATCTATGGTTAATCTATGGTTAATATTAATGGTTATGATGATGGTGTTCATGATGGTTTTCATAATAATCTGGTTGGTGGTTGACCTATCTCTCTGAAAATGATGGAGTGAAAGTTACTTGGTATGATGACATTCCCAAGTGAATGGAATGTCATAAAAGTCATGTTCCAAACCACCAACCAGATAAAATATCTGTTGTATGCTGGGATAATGTCAGGATAACTCTTTTTTCTGACTTGTTGGACAGAAAATCATCGCCGCAGATGGATCTGAGTTTTGCAACTGGTCAATTCTAGGATCTAAGACCATGACATCCTTGGGATCCTTAAATAATTTTGCCCCATAGCCAGAAATAGACTTCTGAAAATACAGGATACGCAGAAATAGGCGTTTTAATGAACATGATGACAATCCATTGGAATTGGGGGCTACCCTATTGTCGACCCATAGCCCCATACCCATCCACTGTGGCTGGAGATCAGAGATCGCCCAATACACAAAACAACAAGCCCAATGTTGAGGAACAACTGATGGCAATCATGGGCATTTCCTGTCCATATCTGTCCATATCTGGATAGTTTCGACTTTTCATCTTTTTTTCGACTTTTCTACATGTCAGTTTATACCCAGACAAAATGATGAGATGAGCCATTAAATTGACAATACTTTAACAAAATCATTGATCATGTCCCAGAAATCTCAAGCTACTTTTGTGGACCGGCTGTGAAGTCGATGCTCCATTGATCAATGGGGCCCCTCTTAGACAAACCGATAGATTTAGCCAAGAAGGACACAACTAGCAAGAATTTGGAAAAACTTTTTCCCTGGCTGATAGATTCTGATAGATGTTCTGATCGCACGTCGAACTGGCGTCATGAAGAATTCCACACTTTGCCTGCTGCTTCACTTCAAAGTTTGCACAGCAGAGGCTTACCACGGGTTACTTCAAGATTCAAAGTTGACAGCTGCTCTTTTTCACACCCTGCCAAGCATGGATTGCCTTCATACCCTATGTTTGTTTTGGTGGGATGTCAACTAATACTCCATCAAGATTTCCAAAAGCATGACCCCTCTGCATCGGTAGGTTTTGAGGATCCGCAGGCAGGACGCCTGCTGTTGATCTTTCATGATTTTTCACTGGAAACGGATTGTGGCAATGCCAATCCGGGCCAATCCGTCAAAAATAGACTAAGTCCATTCCCAGTGAAATAGGTGGAACATGTTACCATGGTATTCACTGGTTCTACCATGTTCTATCTCTTTTCGAAGGGCTTCCCATCTCCTTTTTCTTGGGCAGAAAACTCCCGGTGATAAAAAGGCTCCAGTGTGATAATCCTGCACCTCACATAGCAACTCCTCATCCACCGCGGCATTCGCCGCACCCTTGGTGGATCGGAATCTCTCCGGAAGGGATCTTCGGCAAAACATCGGCAGAAGTGAAAGGGACGAAATCCATGGTGGTTTCCTGAAATGGGGGTACCCCAATAGCTGGATGATTTCTAGTGGAAAAACATGGAAAAACCTCTGAAAATAGATGATTTGGGGTACTACCATTTTAAGAAACCCCCCAAATGTGGCAACCAAAGTGGTAATGGCTTGGTTTGAGGGAACATCTACAGGAAAGCATGGCTTTTAGCATCAAAGCTTTCGGATTTTCACATCATCCAATTCTGGGAATTTGGGATTGTAATCAACCAAGCGACACTTGGAAAGATCTGAGAAAATGGCTTGGCACGTCAGTGAATTTCGTGCTGGATTCCTGCTGGATTCCTTTTGGGGATTCCATCTTCAGTCGGGCAAATGACCGGACTGGAAGAGCGTCATTTCATATACCTTCGTGAAAATGTGCACCCGCAATTTGGGTTAGAAGTATGGTAAGAAAACCCTACGGTGTCATCAGTCTCATGACCGGAAAATCCCACATCTATAGTTGATTCTGCGAACCAGGCCATTTATCCCCTTGCCGCGTTTAGAAATTTCACCACTGATAGATGATTTTCCCAGCCATAAACCTCCATTGAGTTCGGGGATCTCCCAGCTCTAGCCACGTTTGATGAATCCGGAGGGTATAGCTCACTAATATCTCTATGTTTTGTTGGTGAAACCTCAAAACAAATCAGCAAAAAATATATCTAGAAATGGGGAAATTTCCCCATCTTTTCCTACACCCATTAGTGTAACCCATTAAATAATCCCAATATATATATATATATGTATATATATATATTTATTTCGGACTGCTGTGCGGTCAGCACTTGGTTCATGCGAAAGAACGCTAGTGTACAGCCAAAGTCACACCTGTGCATGGAAACTGTGATAATCAGGCTGTACTTCACAAGTTTCGACAAAATCTGAGTGACAAAATGGCAAAAGATCACCTGGCAACTCTGCTGGAATGCTGGTGTCCGCATACACCTGGGTGGTGTGAGCCAGGATTGCTTCAGCAAGAGTTTGATTCAGGCCAGGTGGGTAAATTTTGCAGCGAGCCGTACGGAATGTCATACCGTCGGCTTCCAGGCCTTTTAGGCGGGAGTGCGCACCAGCGCCATGGTGACACCGGCCCATTCGGCCTTTCGCAAAAACTGCACTACGAAAACGCGGCAGCCTCAAATGAAGGATCGTAGTCGGCTTGAGAGCTGGCGCGCCAAACACGCATTGGTCAAAGGAGGTAATTCCGCAGCAGCGTAGAAGTCGCAGTGCTCGAATCGCAGCATGTGCCCAAATGCTGGCTGGTTGAGCAGAACGAAGCCACGTAGGGAATTGTGGATGTTCACAAAATCCACAGCCTCCACATTGCGCAAGGAGAAGGAGCTGATCCAACAAAAAATGCAGGAGTCGCGTCCCAACAAGCACCTGGCGCCATTCACGATGAGTCAATGCCGGAAGTCCGTGTGGGTATTCTGCAACTCGGAGCACCCGGGGACCTTGATCTTGAAAACGCGCAGCACTGAACGTTTCGCACGGAGGTCCGCCTCCAGCACCTATCACCTGGCCGCTAGCAATTTGGCGCTGCCAGAATGCATGGGCATCTGGGGCCAGCAAATTGCCCTGTTCCTTCTGCAAACAGAGGTCCACAGAGATGATGTGGAGCTCCAAACCCGGCGCAATCATCTGATGTTCAAGGTGTTGGTGAAGGTCACCGCGCCTGCGAAAGCCGGAAAAGAAGTGCACAAAGACCAATGAGCGCAAATTGAGGATCGCATACTCCTTCGCCAAGCCCTTCATGTCATAGGCGCCGTCTCCACATTGAAACCCGGCTTCAGTGCTCATGACAAACGCGGGGAAGTCAGCCGCATACACATGGACGTTCTTCTCTTCAAAGGCCGGTCGATCTTGTCGTCCTTGAAGCTGCATAGCCGCGACACATCCGCTTCCTTGTCGATCCAAAGCCTTGCGGAGCATATCCTGCGCAGATTGAGAACCAGCTGGTGGCAGGCCAGGCCCAAAGATCTTCCTCATCGGCTGCAAGGCTTTAGTGGCTCCCCAACCTTCTTTGCGCATACGAAGGGTCGTCTCGTTCTCCTCCGCGTCCAGAGCTGCAAGCGTCTCCTCTGTGACAGGGGGGTAGCATTGGCGCAGGGTTTCTAAGCATGTTCCAGCATCTCGAAGGTGCATTGTCAACCTGCTTCGCGCATGGAACAATTTGCAACAAGCCTGGCACGTGTCACCTACTGCGTAAAGAGCCACAAGGCGTCGATAACCATGGACTCGAGCTGAGTGAGCTGCCAAAGCCTTCTTGGACGCAAAGGAGCGGTCACATTGATCACACGTCCAGCGCGCACTGCAAGGTGCGGGGGTGGACGGCAACACTCCTCCACGAGAAGTGAATGACGCATCAAACCTCTTCTGCCACACTAACGCCTCAGCTTCTGACTGCCGAAATCGCCGGCATGTTTTGCCTGCCGGCATGTGTGTGTGTATATATATATATATGTATCCCATATTTCTGGAGGAGTTCCTTCAGGAAAATCTATGAAAATCAACAACCCAACCCACAAACCCATTATTTTATCAAACCTTCAATGGGCCATCGCCAAGGTGCTTGACCCAAGATGTTCTCGCAGCGGCTCAGCAACGGCTGCCAGGTTGCAGCAGCCTCGCCGGACTTCACGCTGGACAAAAAACTTCTTTAGAAAAGCTGGGGGAGTTGGAGTATCTCAAAATTCGTGGAAAATATGGTGAAATTGCCGATGTTTTTTCGAAAAATGGGGACTGGACTCATCTACAAATGCGATCAACGAAGCATCAAAACTGGGGCCAAAAAAAAATTGGAACTTCGCCATCACCATCAGGATTCAACCCAGAGAAGCTGACATGTTATCAACAAGACTGGAGTTTTTACCCAACCACCAACCAACAAATCAAAATGGGATGTTCGCCTGAATTCGCACAACAACAACAAAAAAAAGATATAGAAAGCCAAAGAAAAATGGGAGTTCCCTCTGGTAAACATACAAAAAACTATTGAAAATGGCCATAGAAATAGTGAGTTTTCCCATTAAAAATTGTGATTGTTCCATAGTTATGTAAACGTTGACCAGAGGGTAGAGGTTAACCATACAAGGTGCTGGCGTTTGTTTCATCCACCTGGGGGATTCGGGTCACCAAAATGCGGATTCGACCATTGAGTTTACCCCCCCAAAAAAAAAATGGATTTACCCTCTGGTAAACTAACATAGCTATTGAAAATCACCATTTTTAATGGGAAAATCCACTATTAATGGTCATTTTCAATAGCTACGTTAAATTACCAGAGGGTAGCGACAATGATGGGAGTCCTGCTGGGGTTGTAAGACAGCACGGATTATCTTTCGCAATCACAAAGATATCGGTTGCATGTGGCATGTCCAACACAGTGTCCACCTCCAATCTGGCCATAGAAAAAATGCCAGTCGTGTGCAGCTGATCTTTCTACTGTGATGACAACATGTCCGCTGTGACAATGGTCAAGCTACATATTATTACCCGCTGATGGTCGTCTCACCATGACCATTGGGAATGATTCTATTGACAATTAGTATTCCCTGGTTGAAAATGGCAAAAAGACCATCCTCCAATAAATGGCTTACAGTAGTCTATTTCAGTTTCTGCTTATAGCCGGTTTTATATATGCGTATGTATATATATATATACATGTATTTATATACCATTAAATCCCGATAAATCTCCTATGAAATTTTCATACATGTCGTGAAATCCAACCATTGACCACGAAAAACATCTATAATCCATAGAAAATGATCTACAAGCCATTTGCAATCCCATGAAACATCATGAAAATTATTTACAATCAGAATCTGGTTATATATATATAATCCATGGTTGAAATAAAATGTATCATTAACCATGATTAATCCAATTTTGGGGAAATAATTGTTGATTTTATAATCCATGGTTGAAATAATATCTCCATCATCAAACCATTTCTGTTGGTTCTCAAAATTTCTCCATCTTCCCATGGGAGCAGGCGTCCAGGTCTGTACGTCGAGGGACCATTCGTTCCCAGGTCTGCACTTTCAGGTGCCGCAGACGCTCCAACAGTTCCTCCTAAAGTGTGCCGGTGTAAACAGCATCAAAATAGCGGGATTTGACCATCAAAACCATGGATTATAGATAAATTATATGGATTCTATATGATTTGTTGTTCTATGGACTGTATATGCTATATATCATTGTATTTTATAAACTATAGATGGAGTGCAAATGGATTGTGAATGGATACTCTCAGCTTCTTGGCAAAAACCTGGGATTTGACATTTCAGACCCTAAAACCCAAGTCTTTTACCCTCTGGTAATTTAACATAGCTATTGAAAATGACCATTTATAGTGGATCATTTACCCATTAAAAATGGTGATTTTCCATAACTATGTTTGTTTACCAGAGGGTAGAGGTTACCGGAGGGTTTCATGTGATCTTCTTGTTTGACTAAAGACCTGAAATGCTATTTGTGGACGGCAAGGTCAACGCTGAAATGCTTAGATCAACATAAATCTATGGCTGCCATATCATCAAAGTCTAGCATGGGGTCTTGAATGGGATCATGTTACGTATCATATTCAGGGTCTGTACTCTGCCACACCTGCAAAACCTTTCAATCAATGGAAGCGGCAAGGAATCATTTTTTAGACATTTTAGGCTTCCAGTTCGGGAACCATTTTTTAGACGGTTTAGCTTCCATTTCGAGAACATAAACCGTGTTAACATGGGCAACACAGGGTCTGGAATACACATAATCAGCAGGGTCTACTTTGGGTCTGAAAGTAAAAAAGACCCTAGCTACAGGAGTCTTGGAGGTCTACCCATTCCAGATTCCAGACCCTAAGTACTTGAGGGGATGTAAATAGATTGTATATAAATGGATTCTTATAAATGGACTATGCATAAGTCGTGTATCAATGGATTATGAATTGGGCTCAGACGACCTGTTGACCGACACTCCTAGGATGGGTGGTGCCCAGCGATGTTTGTTGGTTTATAAACCCCAATAACAATGAAGTTATCTACCATAAACCATAGAATTTGCCTAGTGAAGTATGTAAGGCCCACCTTGCAGCTTTGTTCTCTGAATAAGACTCCACTTTGTTTTAAAAATGGGGTGTTCAGAAAAAGCGACAAACTCGGTTCAAAACCTGCACGATTTGTTGATAAATGGTTCAGACAAGACCTTTCGGAAAATGGTAAAGCACCATGTGAACGCAAGTTGCATCATAAGAAAAACAATCAACATGTATATTGGGTTGCTTTTATCTTCGATTTCTGCTGGGAAACCCATGTTTTTTTGCAACCTTGTCTCACTGGAGCAACATCTACCCTGAAGTTTCCAATTGCCCAAATTGCAACGAATCTGCCCTGTGAATCGGAGCGACTTCAACAGGTGGTTGGACTGGATCGATTGGTTTACGGCTTACGGTTTTTTTTTACCATCAAAAGACCGTGGATTTTACATTCTGGAGGTGTCCTAAGTCATGGGGTACCCCCAAATCATCCATGTGATTTTCGGATTGTCCATTATAAACTATCCATGGGTACCCCGATTTATGGAAAGCCCCATATTTACCGTCAAAGCCCGGGGCAAGCACCCAAGAAATGGAACCTTCAATGGATTGCTGATGGCCATCAGTCGATGTCCAGACTTCAAGACCTACAAATTTGAATTATGGGAAGAATTACACGGATAGTTGTCGATGTAACGACAATTGTTACTATTATGGGGATAAATTAGGGGGATAAATTATGGGAACGATGTTCCTATCCCAGTAAATTATCCCAGTTATAGTAACGGTATGTTATCTCCATTTAAAATTGCACGATGTAACGACAACTTAAAATTCCCAAGAAAGAACTTGCAGATAGAGATGATTCACGATTATATCAATTACACTATTGCAACATCAGCTTATGATTCTAATTGACTGGATCATACAATCAACTATCTACTAATATTTTGTGTATGTCATGTCAATTGATATTGCTTAGTCTGGGCAAATGATCTCAAATTATAATAATTCACTAACCTGAAATAAGGACATTTGGGGATAGTTACCCCTACTAACCATCATTCCCAGAGGTTTTAACAGTGAGGTCGTTATAATGTACCCAGCTTAGTAATTGGATTATCAACTATGAATTACCCTCTGGTAAACTAACATAACTACTGAAAATCACCATGCTATTAATGGGTAAATCCACTATAAATGGCCATTTTCAATAACTTTTTGTATGTTTACCAGAGGATAACTTAGCAACTCTTGAATTCTCTCCTCGGGGCAGTTGGTCAACTGCTCCAGCATCACCTGCTGCGAGCGCGGCCTCGGCCGGACAGCCGGACTCGGGGGTCCCGGTATTGGTGGGGAAAATCTTGAGGAAACCCCAAATTTGGAGCTCATTCACACCCTCTTAGGCTGATTGAGCCGTCCAGTTGCCAAAGAATGCTCAAAAACATGTAAAAAAAAACCCTGGATTCCAGCAGATTTTCCCGAAACAATTGATTCAGGATGTTTGACCTGTAAATGTGGCGCTTCATCTGGATTGACATGGATTGACCCGTAGTATCACAAATATGTTAAGATGTTAAAACCATGAACAAGTTGCAAATTCATTGGCTGTACGGCCAGACAAACCGTTGTTGGGGCGCCAATTAATTAAAGGGGATACAAGCGATCAGCCAAACAAGAAATGAGAATCGAAGTGATGGGCCAATCTCAGATATCCATAGATATCCTGTGTTTTAATGTTTCTATAGCTGGTTGGGATGATATATATATATATATCCCCATCAAAATGGCAACCGATGAGGTTGTACTAAGACTATCCAAGGCTTATCCGGTTCACCTGGGAAGATGTTCCATCACTCACCATGGAGGTCTACGGGGAAACTCATCGGCAGTCCAGTCCAGCTAGCCATGTTTGATTACCAGATAGGGTTTTTCTCTAAGCATTAATGGATCAAGCCATAGAACGGGTGTAATAGAGGTATAAATCAAGGAACTCCACATGAATTGAATGCAAACACGAACTTCTACCCTGCAGCTTTCACTCTTCCGCAGCTTAGTTAGTTAATTTCTAGGTAATTAGTAATTTCTGCTTGAAGCGACTTGAACTAGTTGCTTGGTTCAACTCTGAAGCAGGCTTACTTGCACTAATTATGCGCCTTATGTGGATGTGGGTCAAAATGGAAGACCTAGGGGACCACAGATGTTAGTCTAGTTTAGTATTAACCATCCAATTATTGGGGTACCTAATTTTGACCCATACCCATGTAAGAATGTCAGTGATCCGTAGGGAACTTGGTAAGTTGAGAGCGTGGATTTCATCAGCCATTTTGGGTAGCACGGATCGACAACGTGCGAATTGAAATCACATCCGTGTTGCGCTCGGTTCCTGCCAATAGTAGCAATTTAACCATCAACAATGGGGATGTTTAGTAAGTTTAGTATATGTGATACAAACTCTTTTTTCCTGCGATTCAAAGGTGCAGAGTTGTCTGCCGCCGACTGCAGAACTCTTTGCTGACAGAGGCGGAGTGTTGGCGCCTAAATTAAAAGGAACTAAACTCAGCCGTCGCGTGGGGCAGAATTCAGCTGGGTCCAAGCTACTAAATACTCACCTGCAACCATCGGAATCCAACCGAAACATCAACAACTTCCAGACGCATTTTCTTGAAGTTCAATATTAAGTTCATTGCTACCTTCTGGTAACTGAACAGTTCGACCATCGAATCACCCATTCCCAGTGGAAGCGAGTTTCTTCCAATCCCGACTCATGGCAGGTTCATTATGTTTATTTACCCGAGGGTATATAATCTGGTTGGTGGTTTGGAACATGACTTTTATGATTTTCCCATCATATTGGGAATGGAAAATCATCCCAACTGACTTTCAGTCCATCATTTTTCAAGATGCCCATCTTTCCAGATATCGCTCCGCTTGACCCCGCGGTCGCAGACCACCCCACGGTGCTAAACCTGTCACGGCTGATTCGCGTCGCGAGGCGCGGCTCGGGGAATGTCCTGGGATCCCCAGTCCGTCGCTATGGTTGTTTCGATAAGTCATGGTCTAAGTTCTTGGATGATTTGAGGTACCCCCATTTCAGGAAACCTCCATATATGAATATAGATGTATACGTATATATATATAATACATATGTGTGTGTATGTGTATGTATATATATATATGTATATATACATATATGTATATACATACATGTATATACATACATGTATATGCGTGACTAGTATATATGCAAGTCTGGGCGTCCACACTTCTGATATTGCATGTCCTCGTTTTTGCAGCTCCCTTTTTTTTCAAATGACCAGAAGGGTCATGACGGTAAGTTGGTTGATACAAAACGGACTCAGGGTGGATCTATCTCTACGTCACCTTGTCGCTGGTAAACCCAATTCTATATGTAGATATACAGTACATTATCTAACCAGGCTAGATCATCTAGATCCATCCAATAATCTATAATCCAATCTATTATGTATATATTCATGGACTTTCCAATCGAATCTATAATCCAATCTAATCTACCAATCAAATAGACTTAACCTCGTCCTGGTCTGAGGAAAAAAACGACCACATGGATGTGGAAAAGCCATGAGGAAAGCCGCTTGGAAAATGATCAATGGTGGCATGTTCCACATCGAACTGTTAGTTGACGCTAGGGTAATAACACAGTGACAGGTCATGTTGGTAAAACAATGCCACAAACCATCCCCCAGTCATCACCATAAATAATTAGGTGGTATGTAGAAACCATTCCCAGGAAAATGGGTGGTTTATGATTATTTTACCCACATTATATATCCAAATCCCATTGAAATCACAATTTTTGTTGATTAAATCCCATTAAACCACCACTTTTCATGGTGAAATCCCATGAAATCACCAGGGTTTTTGTGACAAATCCCTGACCCCGATGAGGTCCTCCTGTGTTCACAAGCGCGACAAAAGTCCGCCTTCCGCATGGGCCACTCCGATCTGCGCAGCTTGACAGCTGGGGGCGCTGACCGCTTCCAGCAGCAACGTGGGCTGTGAATCAAAAAAACCTACGACATGACTGGCAAATTACTAGTGACCTATGATCAGTATGGTATTTTCCTTGGTGAAGTGCTGTTTTATCAGATTTTATCATAAATCCCCTTGGTTTTCACATGAGAATACTTGGGAAATAGAGTAGCTGGTCAATTCAGGTTTTCCCCAAATCCATGTATCATATATATATATTAATATATGTCCATACAGTATTGACATAGTATGTACATATATGTAATAGGCTTTGATCCATTTTGATGCAAAGTGAAGCCGACAGCCATGGCCCCCATGGCGGCTCCTGAGTTTCTGGGAGCAGCTGGGGATCTTCTGGCAAGAGCAATCGACCAGAGGTCAGCCTCGCATGATGGCAGGATGGGACTTCAACGACTAACGATGAAAAATCTGGTGATTCAACTACAAGGTGGGGCCCCCCAGTTATAAGTTGGTTTATAAACCCCATTAACTATAGTTATAGGTACCATAAACCATAGTTATTGGAGTTATAAACCAACTTCGCTATCTAGGGGGCCCCACTTTGTATATAGCAAGTTGGACTTTATACCCTCTGCTCAACGAACATAGCTTTTGAAACTGGGCCATAGAAATAGTTGATTGACCTATTTTCATAGCATGGTGATGTTCCATAGTTCTGTAAACGTTTACCAGAGGGTAACCAACATCAAGCAACCATATGGTGAAACAGTCTTACACAACCCCCGTGAAAAAATAGGCTGGATCCCTTCAGTCTTACACCAAACAGTGACATGTCATCCCACTAAAATGTCGACATATAATAACCAGGAATATTAACCAGTAATAGTAGGTGGTTTAACCACAAACCAATAGTATGGTTAATATTCATGGTTAATTATTAACCACTAACAGTAGGTGATATATTAACAGTATATTACAAACCAATGGTAGGTGTTTTAACCACCAACCAGCCATAATTAACCAACAATTAACCATCATGAGCCATCATTAACCACTGTGAACCATTAACCAAAAAAGTGTTTATTCAAGATTCTTCCTTGAGATATTGGTTTGTCCGAAAATAAGGTATCCCAAATTTAATAGTTTATATGAACATATTCCCCACTAAAACTGCTACTTGGGGGTATCTTCCATTTTCGAACAGACCGACAAATGGTATGATTGACGAATCTATCATTATTAATGATTTTCCCATTGTATTTACTCCCGCTGTATGTATGTATGTATGTACGTACGTATGTATGTATGTATGTAGGTATGTATGTAGGTATGTATGTATATATATATATAGTAACATTAAATGTATTACCATGTTGGATCGAGATACCCTCCGGCAATCAGTCATATTGACATGGCTTGCTGGAAAATCCACCATTTAGTTCGATGATTTTCCTACAAGTCTGAGCCCCAGTAAAACATATTAAAACATATTAAAACTAGGAAATTCAGCTATCGTTTGGAGAAACCCACTATTTGTAGATCATTTTCCGAGAGGTTCCTAGGTTTTCCACATCTATGTTTACCCTAGGCGATCGCCGCACCGCAACGGGGTCTGCAGCCAAAGTGCTTCACCTAGGTGTGGGGACGACTGGAACTGAGTAGTGACCAGTTGACCCTGCTTGATCGGCTCGATTTTCTGATTTAACCATGATGCATGGAGAAATTAAACATCAAAATATATGCGGATGATTGATTACCATGATCTATAGATGATGGTTGGTTGGTGATTGTAGGTTTATACTACACTACTGGTACTACTGGACCTGCTTTATTGGCGATTATGAACTGACCCACTGTCGGAACCTCCCCATGTTGGGCACATCCTCATTTTCATGGCTAGATCCCCATTGTGGTCGGTTGAATGTCAGTCTGGATGACAAATGGTTACTTAACTATGGTTAATATATGTTTAATAGTTAAGTAATGGTACTTAATATAATGGTTACTTAATATATATGGTACTTAATATACTGTTAATATTAATGGTTAATATTAATGGTTATGATGATGCTTTTCATGATGGTTAATAATAATCTGGTTGGTGGTATACCTACCCCTCTGAAAAATATGAAAGTCAGTTGGGATGATGACATTCCCAATATGATGGGAAAAATAAAATTCATGTTCCAAACCACCAACCAGATTGTTGTTCGTTCTTTTAAATCCCACCCAATGTTTGTGGAAAGTCCATGGGAGGCTTCAGAGCATTTGTCAAGACCTTAGATTCCTTAGTGTCGTAGTATTGTATAATATACATAACATGGCCATAACTGTTCTGATAGTTAACATTTGTTATGATAGTACCTCAGTTGTAAAATGAGTCTTTACCATGCTAAAACCTGTGTTATTTGATAAAATATCTGGGTTAATTACCCCATTTTCAGATCAACCCACGGACCCACAGTCGATCAATTCGTAGCTTTTGACCGTGACCTATCCCCGGACTCCACGTGGCGGTTGCCAGCGACCCAAGGAACATCTCCAGCTTTCATCGTGGCCGCCAGGTGGAGCTTCTCGTCGACACCCAGGTTGCGGAACCACCGGGGATGCGCCGCACTGCAGATCCTCGGTGAACTACACCAGGCCCGGAGGCTTCCTATATCTATCCCCGTATTAAAAACCAATCAAAAACGTGGAAGGGATGATTAATAGGATTTTTTGGGATGCAATTTGGGTTAGTAAGTGTGCATGTGGTGTGTAAGCCATATGAACTAAGCGAGTTAGATATATGGAACACCCGTCATGAAGCAGCTCTTTCAGCTATCCAAGGCGACCTGCCAAGCCCCAAGCCGCTCGCTGGCAGCATTTTTCACCATACCGATTTGATCCAGACAGGTTTGATCAATAAGGGGGGAAGCCACCAATGAAAGTGTTGTCTATTGAACACTGGTTGGTGGTTGACCTACCCCTCTGAAAAATATGACTTCGTCAGTTGGGATGATGACATTCCCAATATGATGGGAAAAATAATCCAAATGTTCCAAACCACCAACCAGAACATCATGTGGATTTGGCTGTTTTTGCTGATTTCTTTGGGAAAAAAAACGGGGAAAATAAAGAGTTTAGCCATTAAAATTAAAATGCGGAGTTACCCACAAAGAACGGGGAGTGAACCTACAAAGACTTGGATTTAGCCTAAACTATGCCTAAACTTTTTGGGGTTAACCTACAAAAAAGCGGGTGGTAGTGAACACAAACCCAGGCGTCTTCAACAAAAAGAGATTTCACCTACCCGCTTGTAATTCAACATTGCTATTGAACATTGCCATATAGTTCGTTGAGTTACCTCTTCGACATGATTTTCCAGTTCGCTTTGTTACCCTCTGGTAAACAAACAGTTTGCTATTGAAAATGGTGATTTATAGTGGATTTACCCATTAAAAATGGGGATGTTCCATAGTTTTTTGTATGTTTACCAGAGGGTACCAGAGGGTGCAAGAAAATCATCAGGGTAAAGTCTGCACGTCCATCACTTCACTTGGATCTTACACAAATCTCATGGCTTATCGTCATGTTCCCCAGCAATGTTGCCATTTCAGGGCTAAATCTAGCATTTTCAGACACGCCAATATATCCGCATGTGGTTGGGTATATCCGATTCTATTGATATTTCATTCATGTCCCATCATATGCCATTACATCCAAATCATGTCGAAAAATACTGTTGCTTGCATCACAACATAGCCCCAAAATTGATGGTTTAAAATCTGAACTTCCCTTTTATACCAGATGAGGCCCCCAGTTACCCGTGCATCAACTCAGCTATCATAAATCAGCTATCAATGCCATGAAATCGCCCATGTTTCTTTAAATCATCATACTCCCATGATTTCGACGTGATGTTCCATCATGTTCCATCATTTTCCCATGATTTCCCATGATTTTCCTATGGTTTTTCCTCACCTGAAGCATCTCCAACCTCGTCATCTCCGATTCGCCGAGCATCTGCAAGCGCAAGCGTTCGCCGGCGCGAAACAGGACCGCTGTGTGCCCCATCGCCACGTCCACGGTCGCTGGCCCCGCGCCGCCCGTGGGACAGACCTCGGAAAAAAGTTGGTAAAAACCAGAAACACATCCTACCCTCTGGTAAACTAACATAACTAGGGAAAGATCCACCATTTTCAATGGGAAAATCCACTATAAATGGTCATTTTCAATAGCTATGTTAGTTTACCAGAGGGTAATATGATGTGTTCTACGTTCTCGGAGGTTACTAAAATAGTTAAGCTAGATGTTATTTGTTTCTGGATTTGGATGCTAGCAGATATTGAGGTTGGATGTTGGACAAAATTTGAGATACCGGACATTTGACGTGAGATATTGGATACGTCGATATAGATTGAGATATACAATATCTATCAATATCTGTAGATTTGGGAAGTGGAATATCCCACCTCAATTTTCCATGGGGAAACCCCAAGGATGGGTTAAATCACCAGCTTCAGCCCCCGAAGGCAACTGCATCGAATAAAACCATTTGCCGAATACCCGACACCCACGACTGTTGGTTTTTCCTATGCTTCGGGACTTGCAGGTGGTCAACCAGCGACTACTTGTGGTCTTGAAGCCTGCTCCCCCGCTTCCAAACAATGTTTGCACCTCAATCCCTGCAAGATCTGGCTGCAGACTCAAACGAAAGTGGAGTGTTTATGGAATGAATCCATCGAAAAATGCCCAAAAAATATTCCCATCTATACAAGCAACTCAATAGATGCATTTTCTTTGCCTCTCCAACAAACATGTTCCAAGCGTTTTGGGGTTTGGCCACCAACCCGACCCTGGACACCCCGCCGACGCCTTGACGTTCGTGAGTCCTTCGCAGAGATTCGTGGAACGGCCGTCCTTAGGGACCATTCCGCTGAAAATTTGGGAGTGTTACGTGGATTATGATGGAAACTAATAACCCATACGTGGATTGGATAAACAAGTTATGGAATTGTATGGCCTTATCAAATGTATATATATATAATTTAAATATTATTATTAATTAACATGAAAGATCATGAAAGTACGTGTTTGTAGTACATACGAACATTGCGTCACCTAACTCCCGGGAACGGCATTATGATTATGATGATTTTTGTTTTCACTATATACACCCATACGCCAAAGTCCTTGCAATGTTTGCGTTTGACAGCTATTCCCAATCAAAACGCTCGCCACGACCCTTGTCCCGGCACAGACCTTGCAAAACCCCTTTCCCCATTGGAAACGCTAGCTTTAACAAGCCTTGACCAAACTATCATGGTTCTATTCGTTTTTGATCGAATCCCATCGGAACGCCGGTTTCCAACGGGCCTTTTTTCGTGGGCACTGTTGACGCCCACAAACAAAAACGCGAAGCAGGCCCTTTTCCTAGTTTGTATACTGCAGGATGGGTTCTGATAAAGGAAAAAAACGAGGTCCAAAACGAGGTCCAAAACGAGGTCAAAACGAGGTACGGAAAAAGCCCCGCATCTACACACATGGACTTTGGCCCGCAAGCCGCAAACCTGCCCTTCCTTGGATCACTGGTAGCGAAACAATGACAATTTGCAAAATCCCAGCACACCGCCATGGCAGTGTAGAGATGATAATCCCAGCGTTGTGTAGAAGTACCCGGAAACAGCAACAGCAGCAGCCGTCGAACCAGCAGCCGCAGCAACAGCAAGACGCCAGTAGCTGCAGAACCCAACAGCAACCATCCCAAACACAATGAGAACGCAACTAGCAAGATTAAAGCACTATGCTAATAGTAAAACAACGCCCTACCCCAAACACAACCTAAACGCCGCTTCGCCACTTTAGGTCTACATGAGATAGTAAAACAGCAACCTACCCTAAACACAAGCTAAACGCCGCATCGCCACGACTTCCACAAAAGCCTTCCCCCAAGCTAATTTCAAGATTTTTGGGATTTCGCCACGACTTGGGCAGTTGGGAGTACCTGTTGTGAAAAGGACAGGATGATGAATCTGATGATGATGATGATGATGATGAATATGAATAGGAATATGATTATGATGATGATGATGATGATGACGGCGAGGATGACGATGACGAGGATGACGATGACGAGGATGACGATGATGATGATGATGATGATGACGATGATGGCGAGGATGACGATGACGAGGATGACGATGACGAGGATGACGATGATGATGATGATGATGATGATGGCGAGGATGACGATGACGAGGATGACGATGACGAGGATGACGATGATGATGATGATGATGAATATGAATATGAATAGGAATATGATTATGATGATGACGATGATGATGATGACGGCGAGGATGACGATGACGAGGATGACGATGACAAAATGACGATGATGATGATGATGATGAATATGAATATGAATAGGAATATGATTATGATGATGATGATGATGATGATGATGGCGAGGAATGACGATGACGAGGATGACGATGACGAGGATGACGATGATGATGATGATGATGGCGAGGGTGACGATGACGAGGATGACGATGACGAGGATGACGATGATGATGATGATGATGATGAATATGAATATGAATATGAATAGGAATATGATTATGATGATGATGATGATGATGATGATGGCGAGGATGACGATGGCGAGGATGACGATGGCGAGGATGACGATGATGATGATGATGATGATGAATATGAATATGAATAGGAATATGATTATGATGATGATGATGACGATGGCGAGGATGACGATGGCGAGGATGACGATGGCGAGGATGACGATGACGAGGAGGAGGAGGATGATGATGATGATGATGAATATGAATATGATGATGATGATGTTGATGATGACGATGACGATGAGGATGACGATGACGATGACGATGGCGATGAGGATGAGGATGACGATGACGATGACGATGATGATGATTATTATTATTATTGTGATTGTGACTGTGATTGCGACTGCAATTGTGATTGTGATTGTGATTGTGGTTGTGGTTGTGGTTGTGGTTGTGGTTGATGATATCAATATAAAAAAATGAAAGCATGTCTTGAAAATAAACAACGCATTGCAAAATATTAGAAATGTCCAATATTTAAAATACGTAAGGCTTTTTAAAGAATGTGAAAGATGTTGATGGTTGATGATGTTCATGGTGCTGGTGATGACCATGATGAAGCTATGGCAAACCTATGATAAAACTATGATGGAACCATGGTTGCACCCCTTAAAAATATCCAAATTTTGAGAAACACAAAAGAACATGATCTAACAGTAAAAACTGGAAACCTGTCCAGTGAATTAATGTGGGAATGAGGAAAATTATTGCCAACCTGTTAGCAATTTTTGGTTGGTTATGGTTGGTTGTAACATGTCGTAACCCAGTTCTATCGTTCTGAACCCTCCATTTTTGCTTACCTTCCGGTAATCAAACGTGGTTTGCTGGAAAAAAAAATGTTCGATGATTTTGCCGGCTAGAAACCCCCATTAAATGGTGGATTTTCCAGCCAACCACGTGACCAAAGGGTATATCTCATCAATATACCCATTTTTGTGGATGAAAATTTCTATCAATCACTATTCATCATCCATAAACCTGGGCATTTCCCAATGCTGTGCTGGTTTTCGTTTTTCGTTTTTCGTGAAACGAAAAAAAAAACACACCTCCCATCCGCGCTGCGCGGTTTCCAAGGGACTCGACCCACGTGACACAAGCGCCCCACGAAGTCCGCTGTCTCAGTTTGCCAGGTGGCCTCCCAGGGGATGGGCACCGTGAAATCCAAGTAACGAATCCACCATGGCACATCTGTAATAAAGAAGCCATAATAAACAACCCATGTTACATCATAGAATTCCATATAAACAAATCCATTCATAGTATAATCCCTTTATAACCATGAATTTAATCCATTTATAATCCATTTATAATCCATTCCTATTCATGAATCGTCCATCTATGGTCCATTTATCCATTTAGAATCCCACGAAACGAAATGCCCTAGATGTCAGGCCTCTAAATCCATCCAACTCACTTGACCATGAGCACATCTATAATTCATTATACCATCCATTTACACTGAATCCATTTACAATCCATTCATAGCATTCTCCAATTGCAATCCATGTGTATTTTTTTAAAAAAAAATTAATAGTGATCCATTTATAGTAAGAATCCCCTTGTAATAACAACAATCCATCTATGAAAACAATAATTCATGTGTAAAAATAACAAAAATCCACTTATAATAAGAACAATCTATCTACAATACCAATAATCTAGCTGTAAGAATAACAATAATCCACATGTATATATATATATGTATCTGTATATGACTGTTTGTCAAAATGTTTGTTCCCGGTTTTGTTGATAAATCGCAATTCCATGCGTGCCGCCTCATGTTTGCCTTTAAAAAACATGACCTACCTTGATGAGGTGAAAACGTGGAAATTCTTCGTTACCTTTGGAAATCTTTCTAAAACCACAGGAATCGGCTAACGCACGTCGGTTTTCATTCGCTGTCGTTGGTACTATCTCCTGAACTGTGTGTCTCTGTGTGTGTGCCTCTCTGAATGCAATATGCTTCTTGACATGCCTCCTGATCAACGCTGTTTCCTTACTGGAAGCTACCAAAGCGTGAACATGGCTGTGCCTCTGAATGGGCTGCGGGTGGACCGGGGCATGTATTTGCAATTTTCGCTAGCGCGTTGCTAGCGGCGATCTAGCGCGTAAAATACGTAAAAAAATCGAAAATTTGGGAATATGTGGAAACTGACAGACTTGTAAGAAAAGCTGGCAAGACATTCACGACATGGAGGCCATGGCTGTCAATCAAAGCTAGCGCAAACCTAGCGGGTTTGCTAGCGCTGCCTTGCAAAATTGCTGAATTTAGTTGCGTGCCGCCTCATAACGAAGAGGAAAAAACAGTAGACCCAGATGAATTATCAACAACCAATACAAACTTCTAAACAACTATTTTTGACAAATGGTCATATACATACAATCCATATAGTATTTCAGATAGAATCCTTTTTGAACAATCCATGTCACCATGTCCAATCCATTCATCGTCACCATGGATCTACCCCGCCTCCAGCTGAAGATGCACCGGGCCAACAATCTGCAAAGCTTTCGTCAGCGGCGCGCTGCTGTAGACCAGTACGTCGCCGCGGGCCTCCGGCACTGTGCCAGGCCGTGCCGTAACGCAAAATGCTGGGTGAAGCGAGGTGAACCAAGAAAAATAGGGATTTCACCAAGCAAATTGACTGCTTTGTTCAAGAAAGATCGGGATCTCACCAAATAAATTAAGGCTATTTTGCAAAGAAAATGCAGGTTTTACCACGGCAAAATAAGGAGTTAGCCGCTAGTTTGACCAAGAAAAAAGATTGACAAAAAAAAGTAGTTTACTCCACCACAAATTGAGGACCCCCAAGCCCCAAGCCATAGTTGATTCCCTTTCAAACGACTCATGTTGGTGGTTTCGGGGCTCTCTTTGACTCCATCTAAATGGGGATATAGTCGGGATCAATTGAACTACTTGTTGAATGGGGTCGTCGCAAAAACTTTGAACCACATTCCATCGTTTCGAAGATCGGTTTCCCTTTCAAACTTGCCATGCTGGTATCCCCATGTTTATAAACAAACCCAGTGGGAGATCATATGTTTCTCCCTTGGCCAACCTGGAAAAACCCACCAGGCATCGAGATTTACCTCAGCTTTACAGCCAACTGAAATGGCCGCTGTCAGCTGGTTTTAGCCTAAACACATCATGCCATTTCAAAAGATTGATGATTAAAATCAAGTGCAAAAAACTGCAAGTTTCCGGTCTCCAGATATGATATATCAAGTTAAATCAAATGATATATCAAGTTAAATCAAATGGTTAATATTATATTTGATTCTATATCATTATTTGGGGTAAATCAGCCATAAATGGCCATGTTCAATAGCTATGTAACAAATTACCAGAGGGTATTTGTCATATTTGGGATGGAATCATGGTTAAATCAAGTTTATGATCATCCCAAATATTGGGGATGCATCCCATTTGCTGCTGGCTGATACCTGGGATGTCCAATATAGACCCTACACCAGTCATGGTTTTTAAGCGATGGTGGCTTGCTGGTTTCACCATAGTGGATATATATATATATATAACCAATATATTATATAGTTATATTATATACTTATATTATATACTTATATACTTATATTATATAGGTATACTATATAGTCATATTATATAGTTATATTATATAGTCACTTATATGAGTATATTTTTTAAAAAGAAAAATATTGTTCATAATCTATAGCCATCTGATGAACTACCCATGAACTAGTGGATTAATCAGTCATTGCTATACAACAATAATAATCAACCATATACATGATAGACCAATCATTATATAGCCATTCATGATATAACCATGTACTATGATAATAATATACCATAACATAATCATGGTTATTTACCTATATGATAATAAACAACCATTATAATATACCATTCATTATATAAAAAAGAAACACAATATGCTATGATGTGGTCATGTGGTTGAAACAGTAATAAACCATCCCCCAGTCATCACCATTTTTTTTTGGTGGTATGTTTACCATTTCCAGTCATGGGTAGTAAAAATGGCATTGTTTTAACCACATGATATATCCAAAAAGTCCATTGAAATCACCATCTGTGTTGCTTAAAATCCCATTCAACCACCATTTGTTCATGGTGAGATCAGATCCCATGGAAATAAATCACCATTTTTCATGGTGAAATCCCATGGAAATCACCATTTTTCCTAGTTTAACCCCATGGAAACCACCATTTTTCATGGCTGGTGAAGTCTCATCCCACCTCGATCTTCGCTTGGTCCTTCGCTCCGGTGTTCAACGGATTAAAGGACGGCCCACCGGCCGCAGGCGTGGGCCGTGCCGGGTGGTAGTGATAACCTGGAGCCGGAGCTGGATCATAACCTAGGGATGTCTTAAAATATGCTAAAATCTATTTTATATGGGGGTACATATGCATAATATATATATGTTGCAACCTTAAATATGTTGCAAGAACTGAAATCTCATTATTCAACATTCGATCTCCGTACGCGCGGAATCCAATTCATTCCAAATTTCTTGCAAGTAACGGTTGCAACTAGCGGGGTTCAGTCAAAACTCACATCTGCAGAGGCAGGTGCATTTGTCCGATACTTTCAAACTGCGTCGCTTTCATTCGAAACAACCAGAACTGGTATAAAGGTACCTTGGCTTCTGGTTCGTCTAGATTTCTGTGCTATGTGCCCTTGTGACACTTCGTGGTTGGTTCAAGAATCTCTCCGTAAAAGTGTTTCGAAGTTTCGTGCTGTCGCTACCCTGTTTTTGAAAGCCCAGGAGAGTCAAATATGTGTGGCCAGCCAAAGCACAATTTGTAGCGATTTCGGGTTTGGTCGCCTTTCGGGTTTTTTTGGGCACATATGTCACATAAGCTTTTATCATCCCCATAAGGTTTGGTTTCTTCTTGCTGCCCTTTCTATTAGAAATCTTGATCTTGATAGTGGGTCCAAGATGATGAGTTACAGCTTTCAGGACGATCTGAGTGTCCTGCAAACGCTTCCTGACAGTTTGCATTAGTCTTTTCCATGGGCAAACGGTGAAGGGGGCACCCGTGGAAACTGAATTGCATCATCTTATTTCCTCTTCTTAGCGTGCTGGAGTGCTCGAGAGGCCGACAGTGTGCAGGGCAGGAAAAAAAATATATACATACATACATAATTATATATATATATACTGTACATAAACTATTGTTTGGGGGATGAACATCCAGAACTACAACTTTGTTTGGGTTGATTAAGACTTCTGATTTCCCAGCCAAATTGAGTGGATGAACATCAGGGCAGGCTAGGGTTTTGGCCAATTGCCATCTTGGACCGCGACGGAAAACCATAGAAAACTCACCTGTTCTGCCCTGCTTTTATCAAGGGGGTGAGCAAACTGATCTACCTGTTGGAAACATCAAGTCTACAAAACGACGAGCCGTTGGAAAAGGCAATGTATGTCTGATTTTGCGCACAGGAAACCAGTCCTTGGGCCATATTTGGTATTTGGAAACGCCAGCGATTGGTCACGATGGCCATCTGATATCTGTAGAAGATCATCATCTTTGCCGGCAAGTCCCCCATCTTTCAGTCATGTCCATGCTGTAGTTGACCACTTTTATGATTCCAGGAGTATGTACATGGCTTGCGCATAGGCCAACAAACACAATGTTATATATCATGCATAGCATTAACCATCATTAACCATCATCAACCATCATCAACCATTTTTTTGAATTAAACCCTAGCAGTACCCACGACCTCACCCCGTTGTGAAAATCACGACCTCACCGAGCCGCTATGCCCCAGGGCCAGGGCCTCTTCGCTTCCCGCGCTGGAAAGGCTGAAGTCGGGGGTGAGGCACCAGACGCTGGACCGGCTGGGTGGCGGATACGACCTGCAGCAGAAAACCCATGGAAATCCATAGAAAATCACTGAAAATCCATAGAAAATCCATCGAACATCCTGGAAAATCCACTGATAAATGATGTACTGAATCCTTCACTATCATTCGTTTCGGGCTTTGAAAAGGTCGTTCACTCCATCAGACATGGTGAAATCCGCTTTTTATCCCATCAGTTTGAAACGGCTTTTACTCCAATAATTCGCTCCATTGTACTGGTCAGTTCATAAAGCCCAGGATCCCAATTGTATCATATGGTTCTCAGTAATCAGAAAGAGTTATCAGACTTCAGAAAGAGTTGTGGCAAGTATCCGGTATTCAGTATAACTTATACAGTATAACTCTTTTCAAAACTAATAGCTTAATCGCCATATATTCAGGAGTTGTACAACCATTTATAACTATGAGATGAGAAGGAACTAATGAGAGTCATATACTTACTTGCCCAGATTTCTTGTGGTAAGAAACCAGTTCTATAACCCCTAGAATAACCAATAAACAGAGTATTAGCCAGACGGGTAGTGTTCAAAACCCGAAATGTCATTCCATGTTCTACCGGCTGGTTAACAAGATGTCCAGCTCATGGCGTATGATCCCAATATATTGGATAGTATAAACCCTCATAATGACAAACTGACAAACCAAATGGGGTTTTCATGACTGCACATCTATTTTGAGCCAATCTAAGCCAGTGATTCATTTTCTACAGCCCACAGGATGAACGCTCTATTCACCACCTACTACATGTCAGGTCCTTTTCTTAGAGGGCTGGATTTTGGAAGATCATGGGCTCTGGGGGTCCCCAACAAACCCAACTAACGGCTGAAGCAACATGTAAGCGTCCATGATAATAGGTGGATATAAAAGTTCAAGCCATGAGAATTTCATCCGGAAGAGTCAAGAAACTACACCAGGTCATGTATAAAAAAAAGGCTGAGAACCCCAAATATAGACGATCCAAAGTGGTTATATGCTTATACTATGTTATGCTCAAAAGTAGTTGATACTCATGTTGAAGCTGGAGAAGCGGAGAAAAAGAACAGCAAAAAAAATGTTGTCTTAAGTGGACAGTTTCTTTCCCCGCAACGAACCTAGATTTTGACCTCTAATTCAAATGACACATGAACGCATTAGCCACGGCCGTATACCCCAAATTGTCATTCTGATAAGAAAAAAACATGAGAACCGGGTGGAATGTGATGCCCTGTTCTAGATTTGCCCTTGGAAGGGCCATTCTGGAAGCTGAAGGATGCAGAAAAAATGTCGGACGGAGGTCTAGGGAAAGTGAGGCTTCAAAACATCCACTTTGGAGGTTCCCAAATTTTCACTGGTTGGTGGTTTCAACCCCTCTGAAAATATTAGTCAGTTGGGATGATTATTCCCTATATGTGGGAAAAATAGTCCAAATGTTCCAAACCACCAACCAGTTTTAGTTTTCCCCGAGATAGCCGGCAAGCTATGGTGGTCAGCATCATGTCTCCAGGGTGCTACTTTCCAGCGTGCAGTGGGGGGGCTTGCAAAAAGACACATCACTGAGACCGTTGCTGGGGTATATACCAGTGTAAGCCACATGGTTGTTTCCTAAAATAGGGGTACCCCCAAATCATCCATTTGAATAGGGTTGTCCATCATAAATCATCCATTTTGGGGTACCCCCATTTTAGGAACCCCCCCATGTGTCAACCCAAAATGGCCCAAAATTCATCGCCCAGACTAGCCGCCCATCGCCCATCTTTCCAGATCGCTGAGGCACGGGTAGTGCCGCCAGCCCAAGCCCATGACGTACAAATGCACCCGCATGCCATTCTCGGAGGACGCTGCTGAGGCGCTGAGATTCGGAGACCTCCCAGACGTGGACCACGGTGGACCCAGACTCCCCATGGTTAACGGTCCCAAAGATGTGTTTTTATCCCCTACTAAAACATAGCTTCTGTGGGGTGTTTAATGTTAGAGGGAAGGGATTATCTATACGTGATTGATACGTGAATATTATATATATATTATATTATATATTATATTATATTATATATATATGTTATATATATATTATATATATATTATATATATTATATATATTATATATATTATATATGTATTATATATTATGTATATATATATATTATATATATATTATGTACATATATATAATATATATATATATTATCTATATATATACATATTATGTATATATATATATATTCTATATATATATTATGTGTATATATATACTATATATGTTTTTATCATAATGTACATATATATATATTGTATATTATATATATATTGTATATTATATATATATTATAGTTAAGTATATAGTATATCAATATATACATTGCTCCAGTTGAGATTCTTATCATAGTTGGGCGCCCCCTGGCCCCAAATCTGTTCCCTTTGTCGATGATCTTACCAGGGCTCCAAGGTAAGATACCTCATGGTGTTTTCTCAATGTTCCCCCCATCTGGTGAAATAGCAGTTGGTTGCAAACGGTTTCCCTTTTATGGGTCATCACAATCCCCAATAAAGTAGTTAGTATAAGATAGTATAAGTCCCAATTCTTTAACCCATCAACCAGGGTTTTTTCATTGCTCCATTGATGAATCCTATTGAAATCCCAGTAAGATCCCCGTAAGATCCCATTAGAATCCAATTAAACTCCTTGAAACCCAACCAAATAATTTGGCCCAACTACCAACTGCTTGGGTTCAATGGGTCAATGACTTTAAACCAGGATTCCACCACGGGTTAAACTCCTTCATTTACCCAACCAACTGATGACCCATGGTTGGCCCAACTACCCATTGGTACCTGTGCCCATGCAGGCTCTCCCCATGCCATCGCAGATCACCCTTGAGATGTTCGTCGAAGCAGCTGAGCATGGTCTTCTCAAATACATGACCTCAGGGGAGAACGGCCATACCCTCTGGTAAACGAACAGTTTGCTATTGAAAATTGCCATTTATAGTTGATTTAAGCCATCAAAAATTTGTGATTTTCCATATATAGTTTTTTGTATGTTTACCAGAGGGTAACCATGGGACTTTAATCCCCATAAGTTGGGTAAGTTTGCCATACTACTATCATGAAATATAACCACTTCGTTCAAACTGCAGCCCCAAGTAGGACCTAGGATTTATGTTGGAGACCGTCTGTAATTGAGCATAGCTCACCATGTTTCACACGAACATCATCTATCAACCAATGGATATAAGGTTTTTTTCATAGCCGGGAAAAATCATCATCAATAGTGATTCATAATGATTCATAAGGATCAATAGTGATTAACTAATAAAATGATCCATCTTTTATTCTAGCCATGGTCCATGTACGTTCGAAAAATTCCCGATCTGATGAGTTGGATGGCTTGATCATTGGTTCCAACAAATCCATTGCTGGTTGGTGCTTGACCTACCATTGTGGTTCATGTACTGTTAATAATGGTGAATATTCATGGTTATGATGATGCTTAAGAATAATCTGGTTGGTGGTGCAATGTGCCCATCTTGAAAAATGATGGAGTGAAAGTCAATGGGAAGGATGACATCCCATATATGAAATGGAAAATAACATTCATCTTTGAAACCACCAACCAGAGACACATTTCAGTTGTTCTTTCATAAATATAGTTTCCATGTTAAGTTCCAGTATGCTCACAATTGATACATTGCTTCCTAACGAACTTCATTTCATTTTTATCAATGGCGTTCCTCATTAAAACACGTCTGGGACATCTCTTTTTTAGGCAACCCCCTGGGAGATCTTGGGGATCTCCAACTGCTGAAAACCCATGGATTTTGTACCCTCACGGTCCCCATGGCTATACATGGCTATACGAATGGAGATTTTGTTAGCTGACTTCAGAGAAACTCAATTTTTGTTGACTGTATATCCAAATTCTGTGTCCCAATATGTAGCAATACATATCCTAATATCTACCCATAGTGTTGGCTATATATTCCGCTATATGTATGCTGACGACATCCCACATAAGCCTGATAGATTTTTTTTAGCTAAGCCCACTTGAGCCATTTTTCAGCGTCCCTGTTGATGGTTTAATATAGGGGGTTCTTGGGCATTCTTGCAAGTCATGCAATGGGACAGACGGCGGGTACCCTCTGGTAAATTAACATAGACCCTGAAAATAGCCTAATTTTAATGGAAACTAATCTTCCAACCCCTATCTGCCAGGGTCTATGTTAATTTACCAGAGGGTAACCTAAACCCATGATTGTTTCCATAGTCAAATTTGCGAAGATTGACCCCTATGTTGGCAAGCACCCACTTGCTAACCAGCTACTAGACAGTGGTCAGTACAGTATGATCGATCCGTCATCACTATAGTCACTATAGTTATCGCTCATCACTACAATATATGTTGGATAAATTCAGTTTCACTTTCCACCTTTCCAGATGTTGAAAAAAAACAATCTCAAAAAATCAGCCATGTTGGCTATGAATTCCCGCCATCCAAATCCCATCATTAAATCATTTCCAGGGGAACCATTCTGAAAAAATTATGTTTTTTTCATTTTTCATTGAAAACGATCTTCAACCAAGTGGGATTTAGGGATGTGGATTCCGGCAGAATCCCGGAAGACAGTCCCATGATGTGCAATGTCTCATGACGGAATCCCGAAAAAAGGCTACCCTGGCGCAGTGCATTTCGCAACCATCCACAGTAAGTCATACTAAACTTTACTAATATATATATATATATAATATGTATATATATATATATGTCATCCAAGTAGTCTTACTAAACTATCATCCCATTCGAAATCTCAGTCTTCCCATCCCGCATGCGGGGATCTCACATTTGAGTTCCCATCCCAGTGACGGAAACCGAGGAGGCTCCAGTGGTGGGTCGGTCCCACCGTTAAGCTCACCTCGAGAAAAGTTCGGATTTTGACATGACCTTTATGGGATGTAAAAGTTGGATTTGAATGGAGTCATAACTTTATAATGGAAGTTCAAAAAAGGACGTCTAAAAACATGTTTGCCTGGATGAACCATCAACAATCAAAAAAAATACATCATGTAATCGCAATATTTCGTAGTTCGTTCCTTTTTCGCATCGGGAACCACGGAACAGATTTTCAGCCATACTTGGATCCGAAAAGCGGATGATCAGCCAGACGCTGATTAACCGGCGCCGGGCTGCATGGCTGCCCCTCTGCTTGGCCATTTGGAAATCTTCCAGAGCACCCTCCAGGAAAAAGTCGTACCAACCTCTGGGAAAATCCGCTTCGAACCGGATCTTCTCGGATCAGTTGGCGTGCGTTCTGTGTCGAAAAATCCATGGGGAAAGGTGATCCCCCGACTGGGCGAGTTGTGCTGCCCATCTTGGTGTTCAGCACAAAACATCAACCCGTCATATTGTCGATGATATATCTCAAAAAAACATCTCCGTGTTGGTTGGTGTAGCCCTATAATGCTGGGGACCGAAATGGGGAGTCACCGATATCATCATGTTTGGTTGGCGCTTATATCCCATTATATCATAACTAATTGGTGGTTTCAACCCCTCTTAAAAAAAAGATTGGATCATCATCATCATCATCATCATCACCATCATCATCATCATCCCAACATCTCCCAACGAAAATGGGGAAAATAATCCATTCATGGTCCAAACCACCAATCAGATAAGATCATATCCCCATCTTTGATGGTTGAATTGAGCCCCTATCGAACCGGGCATTCTTCGGGGAGTTCACCAAAATCGGAACCATTTCTGTGTGGGATAACCCACTGAATAGGGGACAACTACTCACTGAATGGGTGCCCCTAACCAGATACTATATAAGTGGGATCATGTAACGTAGCTATGGAAAATGTTTAATAGGTAATCATCATAAATGAGCTATTTCTGTGGGCCATAGCTTCCATAGCTATGATTTGTTTTAAAAAAAAAACCTGGGACGATCCTCCAAGTTGAATCCCTGCACGTTCCCAGTGCTGTCCGCAGCCCGCAACCTGACAGGATGTGGCACGGAGGAATAGCTTTCTCAAAGTTGCAGAGCTTTTCCTGCGATCGCAAAGCAGAACTTTCGTTCACATATGTGTGCATCATATATATAGTTGTATGTGTGCATCATATATATATATATACATGTATATACACACAAAATCGATTGTAAATAGGATATACATAGCTCCTGATAGATCCCTATATACGACATCAACCACGGTTCGAAAGCAACCATGATGATAATGATGATATTCATGATGACAATAGAAGTCCGAACAATGGTGGTAACAGTGGAGCAGTCGTGTCAAAGTAACACTCATTGGAGCAGTAATGGTAATATATATAGTAATCTGGTTGGTGGTTTCAACCCCTCTGAAAAATATTAGTCAGTTGGGGTTACTATTCCCAATATATGGAAAAATAAAAAATGATCCAAACCACCAACCAGGTAATAGTAGTGGTAATCACGAAGACTCTTGAAGGTACATCTTAGGAGACCTCTTGGGAGAAAAAAACGGCATATTACAACAGAAGTAGAGCCTCTTAGCAACCAGACATCTTCATGGGGGTCATCATTTTAGCGGTTCATGAAGTTCATGCCGTTAATTTCTCTCTGACTGGGGAACATGCATAACTCGCACCGAAATTTTGATGTGCGATACAAGGTGCCAAGAGCTACCATTCGATGGTGAAGAACGATCATGGGAATGGTTTGTTCAGATGCAAAGGATACGAATGAAATTACCCTCTGGTAATTTTGCTATTGAAAATGGCCGATTTATATTCGATTTACCTATTAAAGATGGTGATTTTCCATAGCTATCTTAGTTTACCACTGCGGATCTAAAAAAACGTGTTCTTCGCAGTTCAGCGCAGTCCCTTTCCCTCGCAGTCCAATATGTTGGATCAGGGCTGGCATCTCACCTACACCAGTGATGTTTTTTTGCTGACGTGACCCCAACTAGTTCGATATATCCCCCATCAATCCATGTTTTTTCGTTTATATAGATGTGTTTAAATCAGTTCAGCTAACAATCCAATTAGCCGTTCAACCATGAAAATAACCAAATCCCAGGAAAATAACCATGTGTTTAACCAAATCCTATGAAAATTAACCGTTCAATCCCAGGGTTTCCCCACCTTCCCCTCCCAGAAGCCATCGGACTCGTCGCCATGGGCCACCAGGCCTGCCTGGAGCAAATGGGTAAACTAAGATGTGGAAATTTGTAGCCCATTTTTATGGCTGAATTAGCTATTCACATCTATTAAACATATGGTTGTTTTTCCACATCTATTAACATATGGTAGTTTTTTCATGTTTTTTCCACATCTATGTTAATGGTTCGAATGGATTCAATGGGTTTAATGGGATTATCTAAACCTACTATGGTTCTGGATTTCAACCAATCCATAGTGGGATAAAAATCACCGAAATCGGGAAATCATGAAAATCATGGGATTTTTTAATGGGAATGTGGCCCACCCCCTATGGTTCTGAAAATTTAAACCATAATGGTGGGATGAATAATGGAAACATAGTGGGATTAACACCACCACTATCATGAATAAATATTCAACTTGGGAAATATCACTATAGTTCTTGATGAAAATAGCACTTAAAATAATTAAAGTTGTTCTTAATTTAAGCAGTAAAAGTGGGATTCATAATGGGCACATATGATATCATACAAACCCTTATATATGATGAATAATGGAAACATAGTGGGATAGCCAACTACCATGATATAACGGGATATCTGGCCAACAAATGATATTTGGGCATGTTCGACAAGAGAGTCTACCCTACTTCTAACCATTGCATTTTCACGGTGAAAAGCTGGGAGCTCATGATGATCAAACATCGGATGCTGATCTTGTTTTCACACAAACCCAAATGGAGACTTTGGAAAGTGTGTGTGATTCTAACAGCAAAGATTATGAATTTAGCCGCAAGAGATAGTGCTTAGAAACAATGTTTGGTGACTTTGGAGCGCCAAAAATTGGACGTTCAACCATATTTGACCAATAGCCGAATGGGGATATATACTCACCAACACCAGAAAGATATGGGGTTCGATCCTCTCGACAACCAAGGGTCGGGCACTGCTCAAATGTGTAGCATGG